TACAATGAATTCCAACCCCGACCCAGTTTCAAGGTGAAAAAGGTTCATAGAAGCCTTTCATACCACTCCTGCAGCATAATACATTCTTCTCTGTCGATTTGTATGTTTGGTATTCATTTCTTTTTTTCCTTTATTTAAAAAGGTAAAAGGCTTATTGAGATTGCAATCACTTTTTTTTAGGAAAGGCAAAACAAACTGTAATACGCTAAACAAAACATAGTCAAGAATGTCCAACTGTTGCCCGTATACATGCCGCGCTTTTTCAGCTTCAAATTTATTGTCTTAAAAGCAGATGTATGGTAGACGCGCTCAAAACTAAGAGTGACACCGTCGCGGCACACAAACGTTCCCAAGAGTTTTCTAGGGCCTGCAGCTGCGCCCTGATATAAAGTTCAACTTTTGAAAAGCGGTAACGCAAACTGCATGTCATGTGATGAGGAGCCACCAATTACCGCCAGTAGATATCTTTCCTTTCTTCTGTTTCTTATGCCCTCTGAAGTTCATCTGTCACACAGATAACATTTTAAGCTGAAAACACTATTTACAAAACAACGCCTAGAAGACCCCTGGATTTCTGGCAAGCAGTCCATGATACAGTGCTGGCTGTGGTCGCTTAGCAACCTCAGATGCAACCTGCCTCAGCGCCCTTGAGTGTTGGCACAGAGGAGGCACAAGGGTAGAACCCAGCGCCTGACCTCGTATTTTTAAGGCGATTAAAGATGGAGATGGAGACTGGGATGATAATAAAGATGAATGAAATGACAGCTCCTCCAAAACATCTCAATCTCCCCCTGCCGGCTGGCATAAACCCTGTTCCTGCCATGTTAGTGGACACATAGGCCAAACTAAAAGAGTCCACGCCAAATAATTTTTTCCCATAAAAGATATTTGTCATTTTAGGTAGTTCTTACCACACTGCTGTGTTCAAGTTTATTTACTCTGATAAGTTTGGTTTTAATAAGTCATTTGAAGCTATAAAAAAGGGGTGCGATGTTATAATTGACAGCTGTGTGTGCTGATCTTTGTGCTTGAGATTGGTGGCACTGCTTGTGATTGGTCGGCGGGTGTATGGGCGGGAACTAGAGATTGCAGATATCACTACTGTGCAGACTCTGGCTCCAAATGACGTTACCTGCCCAAAGTGGCTGCGGCCAGAAATGTCAGGGCTTCATTTTTGTACAGTCCGAGTAAGTGGAGAAGCATTGTCCATCTGTATAGACAGCCAATGGGATGGACATATGAGTGTTTGGAATTTATGTTAACATGCTAAAGTATATTGTGTTAAAAACAGATTGTTTCATAGCTTCTTCTGTCGCAAGCAACAGACCTGACCAGTCTAAAGGAGTGTGTGTTAAGTTTTTTGATCATGATGTTTTAAAGTATTCATGATATAACCTGACACATACACTCACATCACCACTGCTGCCTCTCTATTTCTTTTCTTCGTTCTGTCTCTATCACACATGCACTCACAGACACATTCATCTAAGATCTGCTCTCCCCCTGTGTCTGAGCGTGAATTGGCACCAAAAAGCCCTCACTGATCAGAGCCCGTACTGCTCATGCCTGATCCCAGTGGAGCTCCCACACATTAGTGGCATTTTGAGCATCACAGCCCACCTAGAAGCGATTTACTGTGAACAGGCTGTGTGGTCGTCTCAACCTGACCTGAATGTTGACGCGCAGGCTGAAATCATAAAGCCTCAGCTTACTGGACTGAACTGCTGTAAAACTACAAACAGGCAAGCAGCTGTTCTGACAGAAAAAAAAGTATCATGACGTATTAAACTTAAAGTCCCATGAAATGAAAAATTTCTTTTCCTTGTTGGTACCCTGTTTGTCTGACTGTATTGTTCTGCTTTCTGTTTTTATAAAGCTCATCCTCAGCTTATGCCAAAAATGCGCTTTTGCCTATTTTATATCAAAATCTCACACTTTGCTGCCCTTTTGTGATGTCAGATCTCTCCTAGTAAATTTAACCTGATTTTCTGGATAAAGTAAAAGATGATACGAAAGTCTTGTGATCCTCCATGGCTACCGTCAAGGTCCATTTGTTCAGCGTCAGTTCATCTGCTGTTGGGTTAGATTTAGTGTTTAAGTGATTTCTTGCTTACTTTACTTAGGAAGCTTATTCTGTTTTGTAACTGCAGATGATATTTTTTTTTTTTTTGTTAAAATGCCAAATAGTTAAATCTTTGCTTTTCCAGTAAACAACTTACCAGGTCTGTGGGATTGCATGGGTATTGATTTCTAGTTTTCATGAGGTCATTATAGCTTGTGGTAGCATGGAAAGAGAATCCAATACATGTTGCAGCTAAGTTGAGGCTGCGCTCTGTAATCAGAGCTCGACCTGCTGTCTTGTTTTGGGGATGGAGGCTTAAACATCTGGTGCAAGCTCCTTTTTAAACCACCTGCACATTTATATTTGTTTAAAAGTTTTGCACTGTTCTTTATCCATATTTTCTCAAACAGAATGTTTTCCGCACAGATGACCTGTAAGCAATTATTTTAGCATTCATAAATAGCTGGAAGAAACAGCTCAGACTGAAAATTGATCCAGTTAAACTACTGTAATAACTGCTACATACATCCACCCTGGCCCCCTGATAAATGTAGCACTTTATTAATTATAGAAAACAATTTCCTGTGAATATGAGAGTTGTATTCATTGCATTTGTCAGCACAAAATAATTAGAAAACACTAAAAGTCTGGCTTGACTCTGTAAATGTTTCTTTTGTAATGTTTTTGTCCCCTGAAATGTCTGATGTTGACCACTAGAGTTTTGGTTTTTTTTTTCCACGTTTTCTGTGTATTCCCAAAAATCTGAGATTCAAACGTATAGCGAGCAAGCTAGTTTAGGTACGTCACTAATACCAAAGCCACTGTCTGATATGGGAAACACATATCAATAGGGGAACAGATTTTGACGCAATACTAGCAAAGAAACTTGAAACCGTCAGGGCAGAGTAGACTTGTTAGTACAGAGAGCAGAGTTAGCATTAGCATAGTGAAAGCATGGACGGCCATCATGACACAATTTGCAATTTTTGTATGTGAACTGGTTAGCTAACAAGCTAACAACAAAATAAATGACGCTAACTACACTTAATGTTCTTATACGTCTGCTAGTTGCCAAGTTTAGTGCTCAACCAACTCCTTACTTGAGTCCGACTGAGGCTACATGTATAGCTGAATTTCTCTGATGTTTTCTCCGATGCTAACATAAGCCATTTTGATTGCACTGCTCTTTCACCTAGCATTAGTCTCTGTAGATACAGTTGATGTTATTGGGAGCGCTCACAAAATGTCACGTTCTTTCACAATGGGGAAAACAAAGCATTAGCTATCATGCTAAAATGTTGCTGTGTGGCTCTCTGCATGCCAAATAAACTATATTTTTTTAACCTGGACCCTATTTTCCAAAGGTTTTTGTGTCTGAGTGACTAATGGGAACAACATTTTTAAAAAATTGGTCCAGTATTGAGCGAGGCTGCAGCAGTGACACAGGCTGCAATATAACGTTAACCATTCGCGTTGTGTTTGTGCCGTCAATATACAAATTTCACTAAAAGTGCTTGTTTTTGCCACTCAAATGCTCTAAGTGTCCGGCAACATTATAGAATTGATTCCCACAGAGACAGAATTTCTTGTTAAAGACTAACATCCTTTTTGTTTAACCAGAAACAGCCCCATAATTGCTATCATTAAACCAACCAGACTCCATTTAAAAAAACAGTCATTTTATCATTTTAAACAACACTTTATTAAAAGTCGACACAAACAAAGTAAAACTCGAAAAGACATCTTGGTTCACTGTTCAACAATCACCTACTCTGCTTTGGTTTAAATAAACCCTAATTCATCCAGTTAGAGGTGATAATATGCTGCCTCAATACACTCTTAAATTACTGTTTATTCAACTGGAGTCTGGTTAAATTGGCGATGGCAATTTTGGGGCTGTTTCTGGTTAAACACAAAGGATCTAACGTTCATTTCCCTTCATCCAAACAGTGTGAGGTTGGTTAGCCACTGGTTAAAAAAAATTATGAGCCGTTCCACTGTGTGTAATTCCTGTTTGATAACGTTGCAGCATAACGTTAGGGCTAATGGCAGTAGGGTATTTTGGTAAGTTTAATTAACCATAGCTATAGTGAATGTAATAGTGGCTCTTTCCAGGCAATTCAACCAGATAGAGGGTATCTGGGAATGACACTTACGGACATTTAGTTGGCTCATTCGTCCAGGCTTTTATATGGACAAAAATCAGATTCTTCAAGCAACAGCGGTGACTCTATGCTAGATATGACTCCTTGTTGACATTAACAACCACGCTTTTACAGCATTTCTGGCTGGGGGAAAGGACTGTTTTCCCCCTTGCTAATCTCGCCCCCCAACTATGACTGGACATCGACTGTGTCTATTTCCACACTTTGTTTTTTACCAAATCAAGAGAAACCGTAATGTGAAACCTGAAAGTGGTATTCTCTCAATGAGGAAGAAACAGTAGATCTACTCCTGGCCCCCTTACAATGTTTTATTTTGTGGGAAAAACTTGTTGAACGAAATACAAATCATAACAGAGCATTTTTACACATTTTAAGTGTGCCTGGAGGGGAATGTTAGGTAATAAATAAAAACATTTCTTGGAGACAGGGTTGCAAAAACATGCGCGCACATTGTTTTTCTGGCAAAGGGAATGCATTTTGGTTTAAGGTTCAACTTTACCATCATTACACAATACAGAATTTCACAATGAAATGCAGTTGCAGCTCCTCTATGCTGGTGTCAAATCCTAGTAAATACTAGGTTCACTCCAGGGCCTCAACAACAGAAACTAGCTGACCAGATATCAAATGATGAAAGGGAAAAACCAACAACCAACTAAACCAGCAATAATGTTTATATTCTGTGCTGTTTGGTGAAGACTTCGTGACAACATGTTAAAAATTCAGAATCAATCCATCTGTGTGTTTGTGTGCACTTGTCTGCTCTCTTCCAGGTCAGGGCGTCCTGTCAGTTTCATGGTGGTCCTCAACACTCCCAGCCCCCTTAGTAAGATCTCCTGGGTCAACCGTCTGCACTTGGCCAAGATTGCTCAACGTAAGTACACACACACACAGAGACAGACAGACACACACACACACACACACACACACACACACACACACACACAGAGGCACGCATACAGAGAAAGGATTACTATGCCATTTCTATTTAAACAGGATGATGTAATGCAATGAAATGTAATAACAATGTTTTAAGTCAGGGGCTCAGACACATCATCAGTGTTTGCCTCACTCTCTATTGGCTAAGTGCACAACTGGTGTTACGACTTATATAATCAGAGGAAAAACGAGACTCTCAACTGGGTCATCTGAAGTTTATGTGCTGAGGAAAGAGGCAAACTTTTTAAACAACCTTAAATTAATAACCTGTCTTCTAAAATACCATCCATCTATTGTGAAAACAAACATTACTCATTGTTCAGGAAGGACAGTGTTGCCACATGAGGACTTGAGTCATTTACTAGGTCTTGAAAAAGCTTTAGAATTCCTTTTAAATTCTGTACAACCAATCATTTATAAGGTTTAGTCTCCTTCTTTCAAATTTTGGATATCTCACTGGTTGTGGAGACTCAGCAGTGGTCAACATTGATGGAGGAAAAGAATGGCCAGGCCCTGCCCAGCAGGGAGCAGCACAGTTCTTTTTTTTATCTTCCTAACCTCTTTCCTCCACTCCATGCTTTGCTCTGCCCAGGCCCGAGCCTGCAGTCTGACCACGCTGTAGTATAGGAGGTCCTCTTCTCTGGGCTTCATCAATGTGTGCTGTCATCCAGTGGCAAATAGAGAGACGGGACTACCGAGGACATTAATCTGCTTATTTGGCCATGATGGCACGCATATTCAACCCACTCACAACCCAATCCTTCCCTACTCTCTGCGTCGCCTTGAGCGCTCTTCCTTGTCACACACACTTTATTCTGTGTTTGTTGTGCATGCGGTATGTCTCTCAACACTGTGCCTGAGTGTAGCCCCAGTCATCTTGTTGTGGTCTCTCAGATCCCAGAGGCCATTGCTGTGAGCGTCAGCAAGGTTTTCAGATTCAAGGTTTCAGAGGAAGTCGTCAGAGGTGGTGAAAGGACACAATTAGATGTCTTGCTCAGATGAGTACGGTTATAGGGAGGATCAAAGACCCTTGGGCTCAATGAAGGTCAAGAGAAACCAAGAGTGTTTTGTACTTTACAAACATTTTGCTTCTTTGCACTTTGCCTCTCCTGCATCCCCTGCATCTTGAGATTCTCCATCCTTGCACATTACAATCAGAAACACACACAACACTGGATTCTCCCCTCGTTCTACTGGCCTACCTTTCACAGTGGGTGTATAGAGGTGCATGAAACATACACTACGTCTGTAGATTCTCCACTAGAGCTTGCAGTATATGGTTTGTGTCAGAGTGACATCAAAAACATCCGGCTGAGCACAGAGGATGCTGTGGCTGCAGCGAAGCGCAGCATTCCCAGCCTTTCCTTGTTGCTCACACCTTTATCAGCAACACAGCAGGCGTACTGATGAGGACAGTCGCATAGTTAGAGCATGCAGCTCTCCTCCCCCTATGGCTGCTGTGTGAACGTGGGTGATATTCAAGACCAAATCATGCAAGATATCCATACTGTCCCACAAAGGCTAACCGCACTAACAAAGCTAACACTGAAACTGAAAAAAATGGCTTCAAAGCTTTTGACTGTCCAGTCAAATGTGTTATAGTAAGATAAGTGGTAATATGCTTATTAAATATGGATTCATGAAACAATTTTTATGCTGAAAACCACAATCAGTGATAAAATTTCAGTAACTGTATTCTGCCTTTGTATTATATTACACACCTGTATAGGTCAATTCGTTATTACTCCCACCTCGTCAAATACCAACACTTGGTTAGGGATCATACTGATGCACCAGCAGCCTTTAGTGGCAACATAAGAGGCACTGGGTGACAGCATTTTTGGCACTCCAAGCAACTGCTGGAGTATAGAGAGCAAGAAAGTCCATATGGGGCGGATGGGAGTTGAGGTGAATGGGTCTAACAAGCTCAGGACATTCATCTGGGAGAGCACTGTAAGTTTCCCGTGTGAAACAAAAAGTCATTTGAGGTATTTTAATAACGTGGTGTGTTTGTATGTGTAGCTAACTATGCTAGTGACATATGTTATGTTATGTGACATTACATTATGTAAGTGATAAATATATATGTATTTTAAGCCAAAATGTTTTTTCTAAACCTTACTACATACTTTTACTGCTTTAATCTAACCATGTACTTTTGTTACCTAAGCCTAAAGATATACTTCTGTTGCCGTAACCTAACCACGTACCTTTGTTGCCTAAACCTGATCTTGTACTTCTGTTGCCTAAACCTGATTTCTTACTTTTGTTGCCTAAGCCTAACCACATACTTTTGTTGCCTAAACCCACTTTTGTTGCCTAAACCTAACCACATACCTTTGGTGCCTAAACCTAACCAGGTGCTTTTGTTGCCTAAACCTAACAATGTACTTTTGTTGCCTAAACCAAGCCACATACTTTTGTTGCCTAAACCCACTTTTGTTGCCGAAACCTAACCACATACCTTTGTTGCCTAAACCTAACCACATTGTTGCCGAAACCTAACCATGTACTTTTGTTGCCTAAACCTAGCCACGTACTTTTGCTGCCTAAGCCTAAACATGTACTTTCATTGCCTCAACCTAACCATGTACTTTTGTTGCCTAAACCTAGCCACGTACTTTTGCTGCCTAAGCCTAAACATGTACTTTCATTGCCTCAACCTAACCATGTACTTTTGTTGCCTAAACCTAGCCACGTACTTTTGCTGCCTAAGCCTAAACATGTACTTTCATTGCCTCAACCTAACCATGTACTTTTGTTGCCTAAACCTAGCCACGTACTTTTGCTGCCTAAGCCTAAACATGTACTTTCATTGCCTCAACCTAACCATGTACTTTTGTTGCCTAAACCTAGCCACGTACTTTTGCTGCCTAAGCCTAAACATGTACTTTCATTGCCTCAACCTAACCATGTACTTTTGTTGCCTAAACCTAGCCACGTACTTTTGCTGCCTAAACCTAAACATGTACTTTCATTGCCTCAACCTAACCATGTACTTTTGTTGCCCAAACCTAACCACACACTTTTGTTGCCTAAACCTAACCACATACTTTTGTTGCCTAAACCTAACCATGTACTTTTGTTGCCTAAACCTAAACATGTACTTTCATTACCTCAACCTAAACATGTACTTTCATTACCTCAACCTAACCACGTACTTTTGTTGCCTAAACCTTGCCACATATTTTTGTTGCCTAAGCTTAAACATGTACTTTTGTTGCTGAAACCTAACCAAGTACTTTTGTTGCCTAAACCTAACCATGTACTTTTGTTGCCTAAATCTTGCCACATATTTTTGTTGCCTAAGCCTAAATATGTACTTTTGTTGCCTAAACCTAACCACGTACTTTTGTTGCCTAAACCTCGCCGCATATTTTTGTTGCCTGAGCCTAAACATGTACTTTTGTTGCCGAAACCTAACCACGTACTTTTGTTGCCTAAACCTAACCATGTACTTTTGTTGCCAAAACCTAACCATGTACTTTTGTTGCCTAAACCTCGCCACATATTTTTGTTGCCTAAACCTAGCCACATATTTTTGTTGCCTAAGCCTAAACATGTACTTTTGTTGCCGAAACCTCACCATGTACTTTTGTTGCCTAAACCTAACCATGTACTTTTGTTGCCTAAACCTAACCATGTACTTTTGTTGTCTAAACCTAACCATGTACTTTTGTTGCTTAAACCTTGCCACATACTTTTGTTGCCTAAGCCTAAACATGTACTTTTGTTGCCTAAACCTGATCCCGTACTTCTGTTGACTAAACCTAACCACATACTTTTGTTACCTAAGCCTAAAAATATACTTTTGTTGCCTAAACGTAACCACATACTTTTGTTGCCTAAACGTAACCACATACTTTTGTTGCCTGGACGTGATCACTTACTTCTGTTCCCAAGGGCAGGAAACAACTACATTTACTGAGATTTGCTTTGGACTTTGGTTGGATTTTGTAGTTACTGCAATTTTTACACCCTGTTTTCTCTAAAGCAGAACAACATTATCAGAATGTTTTGTCACAGGATAAAATAGATATCAAAAAGTTTAATTTAGTTTGCATCTTAATGATGACTAAAATTGTAGTTACTGCCTTTGTAGATCAGCTGTCATACAGACGAGGAGCCTCATACTGAATTAATGGTGATAGAAACCATTATTATTAAGAATGACTTGAGGGGGATTGAAAGTATATCATTCTAACTCCTTTTGCTCAAAATAATTAAATAAACTAGAATTTATCAAGCATTCACTCCGGAAGAAAACACCAAATAAACATTTATTGATCTTACACCTGGAAAATACAACCTGAAAAGCCTGAAGACAGGGGATATGCTATCAAAATGTAAATATTGCACATTGTTTTCACTCTCATATTGATTGACTGGATAATAGTACAACTGTCAGCACCAATCTGTCTTTGTCTGATTTGCTATCCTACTGCCTCGTAGCCTCGAGTGTTTGTCGCAGACATTATACTCCTGTGTGTTAAGATAAACATGAAATCTTTTGTTCTTTCTTTGACTTAGAAAAGTTTCAGATCACTCCACTGATGAAAGAAAATTGACACATCCAAGGTTGTAAGGTTTTAGGCTTCCAGCCAGCACTGCTACCCAGGGCAAGTTACCATGAGAACAACAGTTAAATAAGCTTCGATTCCTCCATCACCAACATGACAAGCAGCTAAGTGTACGGAGAACAAGGTTTGAGGTGCAAGGAATAAAACAGCAGAGCAAGGACAAGAAATAAAATAAGAATTAGAGAGAAATAAGAGGAGTTGTGGCAGTTAAAGTAAGTGGAGTAAAAAGAGAGGAGGGGATGTATTACAGAGACACTCCCGCTGCAGTCAAGACATCAAACAATTAGACTGTTTCTATATATCAAACTCAAGACACAGAATAGAGACTGTCTTTCATCCTGAAGAAATATTTCAC